GCACTGGTCTAGAACCAAACCTGCAATATCTCTGAGGTGTGCCTGTACTCTAGGGAAACGATAGGGACCATCGTGGAAATCTATCCACCATTTCAAGGCAACTAACAAATGATCATCTCTCAGTTAGAACGATAGCCTTTCAAGGTCATGAAATTTGCATGACAAATGTTGCATTAAATGTCGATTAATATTAACTTTGTATAGCAAGGCAGATGCCAGCAAGCATAAGAGTGGTGCGTGCAGAAGGTATTAGTTCTGGAGTCCTGGAAGCCGTGAGGTGCTCATCCATCACATGGCCATCTGCAAGGTAGGGACGCTTGGTCATTAAAGAAAATCCCTTTGGCAGCTGAACCTGCTGCCCACACACGTGGCCTATCTACATGAGCCCAAATCGGCTAGGGCCCAACATTTGAAGAGAACAGTGTGTACACGGAATTCACACTCCCCTGAAAAAATAGCCTCCCACAGAAGTTGCCATAGGTCTACGGTGAATGTGCTCTTCCCTGGACATGCACTTTCACATCTGGGAACCTACCCCGCCCGGCCGGTGACACCTGCGATCAATTGGTTAGGCTCTGATGATAAAGACACAGCATGTTTTGCTTGCCAAGATGTAGGAAGAAAATCTGGTCCTCAGCCATTCAATCACTCAACCCACATTTACCCAATGCCTGTCCTGGACCCGTCGCTGAGGATGCCTGAGGATGCGGAGGGAAAGACGCCGGCTCCGCCCGGGGCGGGGGTTCCCTCGTGCACTTAAGTGAAGCATTGGCTTCCATTTACTTTCTGAACGTGAACGTTTTCAATTTCTAACATCTGCAGGGGCAGAACTACGAGACACCCCTGAACTTGGAGGAGACTCTAGAAATCTGGCTCAGGTTGGGGGGTGGAGAGACACCTCTGCTCTTGTTTTTTGCTAGGTTCCTGCCCTTCTTGTTATCGGTTTTCCTCAAACCAATAAAAATCTACAAGGTGAAAAGGTTGTTCTGAGACCAGTCACAGGGGGCGGGGGAGGGGTGTCCATACAGGGACCTTGTAGGACCCATGAAGACGTTCCTAAGCAATGAGAGTGGGTGGTGGGATTTACTGGGGATGGGTGCCCCAACCCTGCCATCGGGGTGGGGACTAACTGAACTGTCCCCCTGAAGACTATCTGGGTCTCCTTGGCTGAAGAAAGAAGCCCAGAAAGCACTTCCTGGCATTTTAAGAGGCCAAGCCTTTTTCTTATTTACCTTAAAAGAAGTTCACATGCTACAAAATGTCAAACGGACAGCCGGGCTAGCGACATTTCGAGGGCATCGATATCAAGGGCGGCAAGGTGACTACCCCAGCTTGAGTCCTAGACTCTTCCCCAAGCAGAGCTTGGGCTGCCCGTCTCTACCGAGCCATGAGGTAAGAAGAGGGAGCCCATTAACGGGGGGCCCACAGGCAGCTAACTAACCTGAAGGGTGAGGGGAATCGCCACTTACTTACCGCAGCCGGGTAGAAACGTCTGCGGGAAGCAGTGCAGCCGGCCGTGCCAGCATTTGCATATGGAACACGGCCTGGGCAGCCAGGTGTCATGGGGCACAGACCCACAGTTCCTGAGGACGAATGCATGAGGTGATACGTGTGTATGTTAAACCCCCCGTTTCTCCTTCCCTCTCCTCCCCACCCCACCCCGTTCCCATGGCTTACTCTTTGCGTCTATCATGCTCACAGTTCCGTCCATAGAAGGAGGGGGGGCAGGCACAAAACGACCCCAGCATGCAGGTTCCCCCATTCAGACAGCAGGTTTTGTTGAGCTCCTTACCTGGAATGTAAGAAAGGGCGGCTCAGAGGGTGGAAGGATTGAAAAGCTGAGTTCCTGTTAGCAAAGGTTAATATGGCGCCAAGGGCTTACTCTCCCCCCAAGTGTTTGTAGAT